AAAGGGTTATACAATAATGTTGAAATGTATGCATATTTTTTTTTTCATTTTACACAGTATTTACGGCAAAAAATACAACTGTGTGGGTTAAAAATATGTTTTTCACATAGATAGAGTATTATTTTAAATGCATTTTGGTGTAGACATTTTTTAATCCTGCCAATGAAATATGTTTGGCATCACAGCATGTGGCTTTGAAAAGAATATCACTAAATTTGACAGCAATATGAAATTTTGAATCATTTTCTTAAAAGAAAAATTAAAATATTTAATAGATATTTTTTTGACCACAAAATATATAAAAAATCACACATTAAAAATTTAAATACATATCAGTACATCAAATTTTTAATTTACATAAGCAAGTCTTATATTATTTTCAGAAAGATGAACTGTTAGTAGGGAAATTGAATTGGAACAAGAAAAACTGAAATATGTAGAAGATAAAAACATTGACTAATAAAGAACATAAAGAGCATTGAAGAAACATTTGTAACTTCAATTATTATAGTTTAAACAATATATAATTTAATAAAATTTTGGCACCTAAATGTTGACCTTCTGAAAATGTGATGAATGAATAATAAATCAGTTTGAATAGAATATTAAATATTAATAATTTTTTCTTTGTACTTTAATTTGTTTATTTTTTAAAATGATTTTAATCCAAAAAATATCATGAAATAAATAATTCACATTAACAAGTAGTCCAAAGCTATTAGGTAATCTATGGTTTAATTTGGCAGTGACCAACTACAACCCATGATTATTTATTAATCGGCCCATCAAAGTATTAAATCAGAATTAAAAAAAAAGACCCTTAAATTTCAAAATTTAACATTCATATTAAAATAAAATTATTATACTTTTTATTTATTTCTCATTTATAACAATCAATAGGTACCTAATAAATGATTAAACATATCACTGTACCTATATTAAAATGTACCTACAATATAATAAAATATTCTATTTACTTAAAAGTTAAAGTTTAATAATAAATTATTCTATTAACAAAATAGTTAAAATATGAACTTATTAAAAACGAGCTACTTAGGGTGGATATTTTACTTTAGAAGTCTATTGCCGACAATAATTATAAATTAAGTTTAGTACTGAAATTCTACTATTTAGATTAAGTTTACCTAACGACTATTATAACATATCTAATAAAAAATAATTAAGATTGAATGACTTTACTTAATTATCAAAATTTTTATTTTTTTTCTCATTTATAACAATCTATAGGTACCTAATAAATGATTAAACATATTACTTTACCTATATTAAGATGTACCTACAAAAAANACTTAAAAGTAAAAGTTTAATATTAAATTATTCTATTCACAAAATAGTTAAAATATGAACTTATTAAAACCAAGCTACTTAGACTTTACTTAGGAAGTCTATTGTAAATCAAACAATTTTAATCTTATAAATATAAATTATAATTAGCGCCAACATTTGTGGCTTCAACTATTTAGATTATATTAACCTAGCCAATACTAGAACATATCGAATAAAAAATAATTAAAATTGAATACATAACTTTACTAAAATTAATACAATTTTCAATAAAATACAAATATTTTCAATGATGACGAAAAGGTAAGTTTTGAATTTGAATTACATCAATACATTCACTCTTCACAGCTATTTAAAACGACTGATGCACTAAAAATGAAATGCCAACATATTATTCATTAATGGTTAATATAAATACTATTTAAGTTAATTAACTTACATATTTAAATGATNGAAAAGGTAAGTTTTGAATTTGAATTACATCAATAAATTCACTTTTCACAGCTATTTAAAATGACTGATGCACTAAAAATGAAATGCCAACATATTATTCATTAATGGTTAATATAAATACTATTTAAGTTAATTAACTTACATATTTAAATGTTCATGTTAGTGTTATATTTACTTAGTTTAATAGTACTTTACTAATACTAAACTAATTCATGATTGGACTATAACAGTTGATTTAATGATTCAATAAAATGTATCCAGTACATATATATGATTTATATTTGATTTTCTGATAATCCACTTCACAAGAAATGTAATAATACTTCAAACAGATAATCAATTACACCACATTTATGAAACTACCTATAAAATAACATAAAATTTGATTATTATGAATAGGTAATAAAAAAAATTGTACCTATATCTAATAATATTTAATATTATTAGTTAATGTGTATTGAATTCATCTATACTTACATTTTGAAGTTAAATACTCCAAATAACGTTCTTCTTTTTTTTCATTTTTTGAGAGTCAATAATCCATAATGTATGTTATCACTCAAGGTATTCAAAAAGTAAAAACTAATTTAACTAAATTCGTTTTATTATAATTCTTTATCAATATTAGGTTAGTCGGTATTCTTTTTAATTTGCATAAAATATAGTGGAAAAACATCTCTTTAAGTATAGAACTATGGGCCAATTTTGTATTACAACTACTCCAACGTCACTATCAAACATTACAGTATAAACTAATAAACTAACAGTATATATTAAATTAACTTGGAATATGATACATTAAAAAGGCTCTACGATTTCTTACATCCTAGTTATAAATTCATATAGATAATAATGCTTGACATACTAAACATTATTTGATAAACCTTCGAAAAACTATTGTTATGTAAGTACTTAAATCGAGTAACCATGTAAATTACGAAATTAACATCTGTTTAGCGGTATTTTGTGATTATATTCGTACGAAGAAATCGGTTGTATATACGACTGGTTTTAGTATGTGTCGTGT